AACAACAATAGCAGCAAGCTGGATCTTTTTCATGTAACAGTCAACAGCTCCAATATCAGTTTCATCATCTTTCCAGTAAGAAATGGTGTAAATAAAGTTATTTTTTCTTTTATTAACTTTTTCTACTCTTTCGCTATATAAAACACTTTTGCATGTTTTTGGATCGTACCATTCATGTTCTAGTTTCTTCCGAACAATTCTATCTGACATGACATCTTCTAAATCAAATAGTTGGTCATTGGACAAGCGCTTGCATGAATTAACAATTTGGTTAAAACTCAATTTGGATAGCTCACGCTCTAACTTTCTTTTTTCTTTTTCATCCATTTTTTGGCGCTTAATTTTTTGTCTTTGGCAAATCTCATCTCTCACTTTGCATCGATGCAGTTGATTTGTAAATCTGTTTTTATGTGCTACATTAATTGACCATTTAACAATCTTTTTTCTAAAACTTAAATCTTTTAAAAAAATTTTTTAAATAAAAACATTTATTCAACAAGGAATACTAACACAGCATACAAATACTTTAAATGATATAGTTACTAAAACAATTCAAACTTAACTTACTGATTGTTTGTTCTAAATTGTCTACAGAAAAAAAAGAGTGACTTAAAAAAATGTAAGTATTAAGTATACAAAAATACAACTAACAAGAAATATTATTGTTAGACAACAATCTACACAGGCATAATAAAGAATTGTATTAGAAAACTAATATCATTTATATATGTATATATATATATATATATATATATATATATATATATATATATATATATATATATATATATATATATATATATATATATATATATATAAATATAAATATATATATATATATATATATATATATATATATATATATATATATATATATATATATATATATATATATATATATATATATATATATATATATATATATATATATATATATATATATAGAACATATATTATAATAGCATCTATTTAATAACTACTAAGCTATTGAATACAGAAAGTAAAGCGTCGGCTGCACTACAACTTTGGGCATCTAAAACAGTGAAAAAAATATTTAAGTTATACATAAAGATTTAGATAGCGGCCAGATAATTTAAAAACAGTTTAATAAATTTATATCGAAATAACTTATCCATAAAGATATTTCTTATTAAATTAAAAAAATGTTCAATCTTCAAATTAGATATGATTAATCAATAATTTAATTCACATCTAATTCTTATTATGAATATGATATGAAATACTAGATGAAACCTTTATTTTCTTCCTCCATTTTATTTCTAAATCAAATATAAAATCCAAGCCTTATTTTAATATTTACTAAAAATCGTTTTATTAAAGTAATTTCTTTTAAATGTACAAGTTTTTTAACTATATTTTTATTCTAAAATATCTAGGTTTACAATACCAATTTATGACATAAGTCAAATATTGCTAATATGAATACTATATATGTAAAATAAATATAAATAAAAACAATCAATCGACCCCTCTGTCTCCCGCGCGAACATCAGGTAAAATGTAAATTAGGTAACAAAAGTGCAGCAAGAAATAAGGTGACTGCTACAAAGTATTTTTCAACGAAAATTGGTAGGTGCATAGATAAATGAATAAATTTAATAAAAAAAATGGATAGAAAAAAAAAGACTATATCCTGGACATTAAATTCACCACAGAAGTATAACCAAAATTTTGACATCAATAAACTCGTTAATAAATTACGTGAGTATAATTAAAAACCAATCGAACTAATGCTTCAACTATTCTTCTTTCTGAAAATAATCTATGTTGATAACGAATACTAAAAAGTTATTCCACAAGGCCTTCCTCAAGCACTTTAACTTTTAAGAGGCTACGAAAAACGTGGAACAAAATTTTAGCGCAAAATTCGGTTCCGTAAAACGCGATACTCACGTACCTAATGGAACAATTATCCTGATAATTCTGGTTAGCAGACGTTAACATCCCTCAAAAGTAGGTCGATAAAATCGTTTACCGTATTTACCGTTCTTGATTTTAAATTTTGCGGCTAATTTAAATCAAAAATAAATGGCGCATTTTGTTCACATAAATAAAGGAAAGGAAGATAAATAGATCGCACTAATAAAGAAAAGAAAGATATATAGGTTTATAGTTTTGTAACTCTGAGTTCTGTGCAAATTTGTGTTTTACGTTAAAACTTACATTTTACGTTAACAGGGTGGCCTCTAACTTTAGCTAACAGCTCCTATAAAATCCTCTACTATCCTCTAAAAAGATAAAAATATCATAATATCTCTTCTTTCACTCCTCTTTTTTATTATTTCAATTTCGTGATGATAGTATATTATTTAAAATTCATGGTCTGTAAAAAAATTAATTTTATGTAATCTAACAAAAAATGACATTGTTGACCCCTGTCCTAACTCCAGTTATGTGGAAACATGGGTGTTAAACCTTTATAAAAAATCCTCTAAAATACTCAATTTTTATTTCAAATTTTGTAGTTTTTTTGTAGTTAGAAAAAAGTCCTCTAAATTAGATTTAAAATCTCCTCTAAAATCTTCTAATAACTAATTTTTCTTATAAAAATTTTGTGGCCACCCTGGTTAATGTTTACTTTATATCCAATTTTTTTTACCTAGATAAGATTTTTTATCTATATAGATTCTATTTAGATAAACAAGTTACGGAAATTCTTTTAATATTTAAAATATTTTTAGGCGTATTGGTGGTAAGAATCTTGGTGACTCCATCGGAAATCTAACCGAAAATTTGATAAAAAATGTATTAAAATAAACATTAAAAGTTTTTCAAAAGTACAAGCTGATATAATAAAACTTTTATGTATTAAGATTTGTTTTGTTTTTTTACAGCGAATACGTGTATAAATAGCGTTTGCAAAAGATTCAAATGCGAGATGATTATTTTCTGTGGTTGTCTTAATATGTATTAGGCATGCACTTCTCGATACAACAACAACATTCTAACAAACATTCGTAACCAATGCGTATTCTAGAATTTTTTAAATACGCGGTTAATTTCACAAAAACCTCATCGAATACTATCGGGTTACTGTGTTATATGAGTATTGCATTCAAAATAAACAAACGTACTGAAAAGTTCAAAAAATTAATATGACTACAACTCGTTCCAAAAAATATTATAGCCACGGACAAGAAATATGTCGTATTCAGACTAAAATTAAATACATTTTTGATCTTGCGGTCGAAGATAAAAAAATTTTCTTAATTATTTTAAGTAGCACGGCAAACTCTTCATGCCTCGGACAAAAAAAAAAAAAAAAAAAAAAAGCTTTGACCTTTGCTTTAGACGACTTAAGAAAAAAAATCTCTTTACGTTACACTTCCTTCATAAGCAAACAGATGACGTCTTTTCGATGATTTTCAATCAAATTACGTTCAAAAGACGTCATGTTGTCAATAAAGCACTGCCGTATGAGAAAGCTAAAGACGTTCACTTTACCTTCATGAGCTATGGAGCAATTCCACATGCCTCTATGTTTTGCTATATCGAGGAAATGTAGTTTAATAATATCCATGAGTATAAAAAATTTTTAAAATTTATATTAATTTGGTAAAGAAATATATCGACGGCCTCATCCGCAAACAAGATAACTTTTTTGTTAAATCGACTCTTTTCGGCAGCATTTTTTTTTTATACATAAGACATAGTAGAAATGCATCATTTTATTTTCAGTAACAATTTTAAATATATAAATATGAAAATTAACAATAAAAATCCATGTAAGTGTATATATGAAATATGTTTGTTTCTCCTGCACAGTTTGGTACAACGGGAGTTATCTCGTCTACAGATTTAGCCGTCGTTATGATCTTTAGGGTAAAATTTTAATTTATACTTTGTATTTTATCAGTTATTACAAAAAAAAAAAAAAAAAGGTTGTCACGGCGTGACAAATCGATCCACGCTGCAACGCGCGTATTTTGAGATATATGTTACAATATAAAAATTATGAACACTTTAACTTTTATAATACGGTTAGGTTATTGCAATATTATAACAAAGTTATAATTTTTTTATTTTTGCAATCTAAATACCGTAAACTTTTGTTTTCTTGATTAAAACATGCATAAACGCGAGCATAAAATTACTGTATTTCCGATTTGTTTTGCACATAACGGTTAGAGAAGTACACTTTATATCCAGAACAAAAAATTGCCAATTGGAAAGTTAACGTTTTATTATCAAATTCAAGAAATTGATTTCTTAAGGTACAGTACCAATAAATTCCTGTTGATCTTTTTTTTCTTCTTCCACTTAGCATCATACCGACCGGTTAGAAAACTACATTTTAAATTCATAAAAAAATAATAAAAAACAATAAAAAGGGATAACGTTTTATCGTCAAATAAAAGAAAGTTATTTTATAAGGTACAGCACTAATATTTTCCTGAAAACTTTAGTTTCACTTTGGATCATACCGACAATTTATTCATGTTATTTTATGTGATTATTTAATCGTTTTATAAAAAATAAGACTAGTTCTCTGCGATTTATTAACTATTTTGTTAAAGATTTATAATTTTTTAAACTACTGTTTAATTTTACATTCTACAATAATCTTTTAAATAAAGTTTTTTTTTGGTAGGTTTTTCAGTTGAAATAAGAAATAAAAAATACAATTATTTCATTTTAAATATATTTTTAAAATGTTCAAATAAAATAATTACATATATACACAATTGCACTCATTACATGCAACCATTTTCAAAATATTGGACAATCCTACCTTACAACAGTTATACAACATGTTTTTTATTTCCTTTAAACTCGGGTCATTGAATTTGCTGTATGCGACGATTGGCAAGCAACTAAAGAAAATATATATTTAGTATACATGTAAGTATCATATAAAGGTACGGTTATAATATATATATATATATATATATATATATATATATATATATATATATATATATATATATTATATATATATATATATATATATATATATATATATATATATATATATCATAATGAAAAATTGTCAACAAAAACTTAACTTGCTTTAGATACAATGCTACGATCTCTTAGCATTCACACCATTAAATAAATGTTCAGATACATAATTTCTTTAAATATATGTGGCTATGAAAATAACCGTTTTTTGAAGTGTCGCATTGATAACCATATTACATTGCTTATATTGTCAAAGTCGGAAAAATTTCTGTCCTTTGCTAAAAATTATTATAAATTTATTTTCATAAAAAGCATTTGATGCAGCAAACTTTTTATAATTCAATGTTTATAAAAAAAATAATTTTATGTATTGCAACATTAAATCTGAGTGTTCTTAAATATAATAAAATGAAAAAAATAATAAAATGATATAAATATAAAATGAATTTTATATTTTACAAAATATAATAATCCAACTTTAATACATATACATTTTTATGAAAGAGTGTGGTACTCTGAGATATGGAGTACGGAGTCATAATATAAAAAGGTTGATAAATCTTGATAAATATTAAAAAATAATTATCAAAATTTAATAAATAAATTCCGATGATGACTTGATTCATATCAAACGTTGTGTCATATCATCCAGCTCCCAATGAAAATGGAACACACATCTTAAATGTGGCGTTGGATGCAACACTAACACAAACTGTAACGTTTTAGGATTTTAAGGTGATATCGGCTGGAAGTGAAACAACTGCCCTGCAAACATTGTTAAGCCCTGAACGGTTTAGGCGATAACCAAAACCAGGATAAAAGAAAATCATGCAACAATGGTACTAATAGAAAAGTCATACAACTGAAAGTCGAAACTCAAAGAAAAAAAATATTTGTATTAAAAACAAGTACTAGTAGCAACTAAAACCAATATAAATATTACGCTTTTGATACTTTCCCTTGTGATGACAAAAGTAGAAAATAATAGTCAAACCTGTCATAAATGGTATTATAATGCTTGCGAAGGGTGGATAAAAGGGATTACAAAACCGGTATCAAGTGTGACAATTAACTTTTTGTATTACAAAAGGATATTGTCTCACTTAATCCCATATGGACGGCTTAATCCGCGAATGAGATAACTTTAGATAACATAAAACTATTTCATAAGCCCATATATACATTTATATGGATTTTTATTGTGATTTTTTCATATTTATGTAAAATCATTACTAAAAGCAAAATGACTTATTTGTACAATAATTCCTTAGAAGTAAAAAAAAAACTGTTTTCCGCAATAGTCTTGATTTAGTCAATAGTCTTGAAAAGCAGAGTTATCTTGTTTGCGGATTAAGTTGTCGATATATCATCTCAATGTGCAGCATCTATTAGAGAATTTTATAATTTGTATTTTTTTTTTGTATCATTGTACCCTACTCTTTTGTATTAATCATTTACATATTAATAAAGCCTATTGCAACATTTAAAAGTAATAAAATTTACCAAGTCTTTAGTTATTTTGTTATCTTTTTTAACACTCTTGACATTTCCAAAGATCTTTGTTTTTTGCATTGATTTTTTTGCATTCACATTGAAACCAATTTTTACAAGAGCAGCATTGAACTGTTTGCCTTATAATAAAAAATTTATTACAATTTTTACATATTCCAGTTTTTACATTGAGGTGCTATTGTTTAAGCAATTATAATACAATTTTTTTTGATTCTTTAAGTACTTTTACTAAATAGGTTTGAATGTAAAAGAACTTTAAATTTAGCATTTACAAAATATAATAAGGTGTAGGGGGCTTAAAGAAACTGTTGAGATGTTATGGCACTTCTGAGTATTGTAATTTTTTTTCCAAAAACAATATTAAATTCTTGAAAATGAAGCAAGGATGCTAAAACAATGACGCCTATAATAATGTTGTGTAAGCAAAATTATGTAAGTTATAAAACAAGTAATTAAATAAAATTAGTTATGTACCGATGGCAAAGGTATAATTGTGGCTAATAATAGGGCTTAATTTATACATAAACTGGTAATATAGAGATGTAAAATACGTATAAGGTAAAATTGTATATCAACATTGATTTGGCCTTGTAGCCTATGCCATCAGTAACCATCAGCTAATTAATGGGTTAAACCATTAGTTGATTAATTAGCCAATAGCATCAGCTAAATAAAAAAATTACTAACTTTTCATATGAAGACCCATATAAAGGTGTCCAAATCATCCTGCAAGAACAGCATATCTTTAATTTGAATTCTTTTGGATTGCATCTATAGCTTCCAGAATATGACAGTGGAAAGGATCTCATTATGTTATCTTTTATGCATGCAAGAACATGACTTCTAAATAACCTTTGGTTGAACCAAATATCATCAGCTGGATTTTTATTGTTCAATAAAATAAACTCTATAAAAGCTAGTTAAAACAAACCACAATCTACATTTCCTTCTTGCTGCTGAACTGGTAAAACATTTACTTTAATTTCTGATTTGTTGTAATTTAAAAGAGAACATATTTGTATCTGTGTATCTAATGACAAATATCCATGAAAACTACTATCAAGTACATATACTTCTCCAAACTTGCAGCCATATGTGCTAATAGCTAGCCAGTGATGATGTCCATTATAAATGACTTGAACAAACGGCAGAGAACCTTGGGGCTTGAAAAAAAGTTTTTGTCCTAATATTGGATCTTTGCAGATGGATGATTTTTTATAATTAAATTTTGAAAGTAATGGATAACACTATCTGATAACATTCTGTTATTTGAAATGTCTTCTAAATCCTCAGTTTTAAGTAAAGAAATATTTAAAATATTGCTTTTGTTATCATCATCAGACAAAATATTTTCAATAATCATAGAACTTGTTTTAAAAGATGTTTCACCTGTTATTTGATCATCAGTAATAATACATTCTTGTATCGATACTTCTGGAGCAACACTATTAATCTTAATATTACATGATGAGAGTGACATATCTTTTTTTTTTCCAACCCGATTTGAACCTTTTTTTTTTTTTTAATACCAGGTATTTCAATTAATTTCATTTTCTTATTGTGTACATAATCATCCATATTTTCTGTTCGAACAGGTAGACCTTTTTCTTTTTTTCTTGCATGATAAAGGGCATTAAGAATGTTTGATAAATTTTCATGTAAGTCAGAAATTTCTCCAGATGTTTCATCAAAATCATCAATAATGAATGTAAATAAATACATAGAATGCATAACTTAATTTGATTATTTAAATATTAATTATCAGATTAAATCATTTAATCCGATTTAATCTGATTTAATCATTTAATAAATGTCATGTTTATCAATTGATTTATAATTAAACAACCTGGTAAACTTTCACTTTCATCAGAGCTAGTTTCTTCAGAGCTGCTAATATTTAGATTGTTATCATAATTAGATAGAAATAAATCCATACTCATAAAATATATCAATAAACGTTATTGAATAAAGTTCACTAAAAACTAAATAGTTAAAATTTCGTTATATTGCGTTCGTGTGTAACTTGAGCGCTAATTCCACTAAAATTTATAGATGAAATTATAAACGGTAACCGGTAAAAATGACCTACTTTTGAGGGATGTTAAAGTCTGCTAACCGATAATTCTTTGAATTCAATGTCTTTATTCGACAGCATTGAGCTATTCAATAATGGAACCAGTACATTAGTTAATGATCTTGAAATATTGCCAAATCAAGGTTTGGAACTTCCCAAAGGTTCAAGGAGAATTTTAATAACACCTTATGAAAAGCGACTTATAGACAGGCTCTTGCTAATTTATATATACTTTTTTAAACATTTAATTACTTTAGAATCGTATTAATATTGATACATATATTGAAATTAATACAGATATTGAAATAAATAGTTAAAAACTGGGTATATGATATACTATATATATATATATATATATATATATATATATATATATATATATATATATATATATATATATATATATATATATATATATATATATATATATTAAGTATATACTTGACCCTTGATATAGTATTTCAAGTACAATAATTGATATACTATATCAAGAACAATTTAAAGGATTCAATAGGAGTCAACAAGTTAAGGTTGGAACTTCATTATCAAACCCAACTTGCATCGTTAGTGGAGTTCCTCAGGGCAGCGTGTTAGGCCCAACATTATTTTTACTATATATCAAAACTATCTTGATTGCTCTTTAAAACTTTATGCCGATGACATCAAGTTATACAGTTTATTTTGCAATACCGACCATAGCCATTATTTAGCTATTGCTCTTAATAATGTAGTACTTTGGTCAGAAACATGGCAATTACCTATTTTTACTAGTAAGTGTTTTGTTCATAGGATTGCACCTGCTTCATCTAGAAAATTTGTTAACTTTAACTATAAGTTAGGAGATCATATTTTAGCTTGGTCTTCTATTCCGAAAAATCTCGGTGTAACTCTGGACTCTCAACTAAATTATAAAAAAGCATATCTCAAACATTATACATGCAGCTAATACTAGAACATATCATATTTTAAAATGCTTCAAGTCTCGCGATTCTAGAATCTTAGTAAAAGCCTTCAATACATACATTAGGCCTATATTAGAATATTGCTCCCCAGTTTAGTCACCATATCATGTTGAACTAATAAAGGTTGTTGAGAACGTGCAAAAACGTTTCACAAGCATGATTTATTGATTTGCTACAAAATTCTGCATTACTTGGTCTTAATTGATAAATCTATGTTCTTTCTTTTTGACAACAAAAACAACATTCGGGGACATAAGTATAAATTGCACAAACAACATTGTCGACTAGATATTTGCAAATTTAGTTTCTCTTACCGAATTGTTAACATTTGGAATCAGTTGCCTTTGGATGTTGTTAATGCCGATAATATCAACATCTTTAAGAGGAAAATTAACTCAATTTTGAAAAGTATTGTCGGTGTTGATAAAATATTTATTAAATGTTGTACGCTGTTACATAATTTTTTGTTTTTTTTGGGTGGGCATGCTGTTAGCGTCCATCAATATTGGACCTGCGTGTCCTTTAGAACATGTATATTATCTGTTCTAATAAATACAAATACAAATTTACAAAGTTAAATAGAAAAATTAAAATATAAATAAAAAATGCTAATGCTAAAAAAATAACACTTGTAAGAATATTTTTTACTTTTCCATAAATTTTATTTACTTGTTAATTAAGATTTTATTTTTAGGAGCGTCAACTACATCAAGTGTCAGTTGATATATATGTTTTGGTCAAATACATGTTTGTATTTGGTAATATTATGTTACATTTTTGTTTTGTGTTTCAAAAACTCATATTGCATTTATTTAAATATGTATTTAGGAATTTAGAATTGATGTGTTTGTAGTTTTTGTATTTAAATTTTGTTTTTAATTAAAGAAATTTTATTTGATTAAATGTATTTAACTCTAAAGTTCATTTTTATTTTTGCCTTCGGTTTTAAAAAAATAGAACAACTGTTTATGCTATAGTTCATTTTATGTAATAGTTAATGTATATAATTTATTTTTACAAAGATTAATGTAAGTAATATTTTTTCTTGTAATTACTATCTTGAAAGTTATTTTAACTATCTAGGCCTTTTATCGTTATAAATTAATTTTTTTAATATTTCTTAATACTCAAATTAGGTACCTAGTCAATTCAGCAAGAAAAAAAGAACATTTAAGATTTTCCTTTTAAAAGATGTAGTTATTAAAATTTTAAGTTAGTATATATATATATATATATATATATATATATATATATATATATATATATATATATATATATATATATATATATATATATATATATATATATATATATATATATATATATATATATATATATATATATATATATATATATATATATATATATATATATATATATATATATATACAGGCTTGGTCGGGAAGCGAGAGCGATCGCTCTCGATTGCTGACCACGTAAATAATATTTAGTTGCGAAAAGCTGGCCATATTTTTTAGTCGTTTTGAGAACATTTAAAAAGCAAAAAAAAAAAAGCGCTTAAGATTAATTGGATTGATGAGAGACAATTACAAAAAAAAAAAAAAAATTAGGTAAATAAAATATCTTTAAACGCTAAAAAACTTAAAGCTAAATAAATTACGTTTAAAACAAATATTTTCAAAATATCGCTCTTTTATAATTTTTTTTTATAAAATTAAGCGATGTTTTTTATATAAAGTAACAACTTACGATTGTTTAAAGAGGAAACAAATATTCTTTATTTAAAAAAGTTTGCAAGTTTTAGTTTAATTTTAGCTAAATTATTTTATAACCCTAACCCTGATAAATAATAAAGTTAATTTTTTCAATACCTATTTTATATTTGGCGTAGTTTGAAAAGTTTAACATATTTGAAGCATTTCTTCTTAGTAAGATAAACAAATGAAATAATTAAATCATTGAATTACTATAGAAATTAAATTAACAATATAGAAATCAACATAAGCTTAAAAATACTTCATGACGAGGAAGCGAAATTGCTTCACAATATCGCTGGTGATGTTTAGTGAGTGGGCTTTTTAATTAGTATTTAAAGCAGAAAAAAGTATAACGAGTTTTTAGAATGGCAACTTAAGCGAAAATAATTAGAGTTAGTAAACCAATATCTAGTAACTTTTCTTTATATCTAATTATTTGCTATATATATTTGTGTTCTGTCGTGACATCAGGCGCGGTGCTTGTTCATCTGCGAGTTACTTTGTACGCGTTGTTTGTGTTTAGTAACTAGAAACTTCTTATATGTTTGTTACGTAATTAGTTTTATTAACTATAACGATTATAACTTCATTGAAAACGCAATTATTTTTGTAAGTCTTTGTTTGAATCGTAAAAATTGCTTTAAAAGATACATTACGATAAAAAACAGATAAACAAAATTAAATTTACATAAAGAATACATACTTTTTAAATAAAAAATAAGAATATACTAATAAAATCTATAATTTATAATAAACTTTTAACATTTTGACAATTTAATATATATTTAAAACTTTTATTTTTGTAAACAAATATTTATTCTTAAAACAAGTTATGCTAGAAATCTCAAAACGTAACAAATCGTTTCTAAAAACATTTCAACAGATTACTCTTCTTAATTTCGCTAAGTCAGCGTATTTTTTGAACCAATAGAATTAGTTTCTTCGTTAATTTGGCGGGTTTTTAGTGTTCGCAAATATTCTTATTATTCTTTCGCACAAAGATGTTTTGAGAACATTCAAGTTTATTATGTTTCCATGTATGTCCGTAAAACAAAAATTTTTTGTTTCGTACATAAACTTAAATGTTCTCAAAACGACTAAAAAACCTGGCCAGTTTTTCGCAACTAAATATAATTTCCGTGGTCAGTATTCGAGAGCGATCGCTCCCGCTTCCCGACCAAGCCTGTATATATATATATATATATATATATATATATATATATATATATATATATATATATATATATATATATATATATATATATATATATATATATATATATATATATATATATATATCTTCATATCCTGTAACTTCAGGGGTTCTTGCAGGTTCAATCCTTGGCCTTATACTCTTTTTAATTTACATTAACGATCTTCCAGATATTATCACATCTTAGGTGGCATTGTTCGCTGACGACACTACTACTTATTCTTGTCATGATAAGAAGCCTACACTCTCTGATTGCTTGGAGGGGGTATCTGAGCTTGAAAAGGATCTCACCTCTGCTACAGCATGGGACTCACAATGGCTGGTGAATTTTATTTCAGATAAAACTCAATTTTTTTCGGTCAATAGTTATCGCAATAATTTAGATCTTCCTATATTTATGAATGGTAATGTACTAGATGAGTCATCTACCCTTCATCTTCTAGGATTAACTTTTACTTCTGATCTTTCTTTTAAACCGCATATCAAATCCACTGCAAAATTAGCATCTGGTAAGGTTGCATTTCTTTATCGAGCTCGACACTTCTTTACTCTAGATTCTATTCTCTATCTATATAAATCTCAAATCCGTCCTTGTATGGAATACTGTTGCAATATCTGGGGCAGATCTTCTATTGATGCTCTTTCTCTTTTAGACAAGGTGCAAAAACGCATTGTAAACATAGTTGGACCTGCTTGTGCAGCCAATCTCCAACCATTGTCACATCTTCGTGATGTTGCTTCTTTTTCTCTTTTCTACAAATACTATAATGGGCACTGCTCTAAAGCTAGTTTTTTTCTTCGAACATCAGTTCTTTGGAATTTGCTTCCTTCATCTTGCTTCCCTGATTCGTATAATTTGCAATCTTTTAAGTCATCTGTCAATCGTTATCTTGCTCTACGAACTTAATCTTTTCTCTTCCAATAACTTCCAAACTCTTATAGTGGTTGTTCGCAGCCTTGTTGGAAGCGAAAATGTAATATATATTTTTTCTATTATAATTTATATATATATATATATATATATATATATATATATATATATATATATATATATATATATATATATATATATAAATTATAATAGCATATTGTTTTTTAATTAACTAATATATAGTTTTTAATTCATTTACTTACTTATCTTAAGAATAATAAAATATAAAAAACGTTTAAAGTTGAGAATAGTTTTGATCTTTACTAGTATGATTCTATCGCCAAGTTTCTTGAATGTGATCAATCATTTCTCGATACTAATGTTGCAAAAAGTAGTATATTTTTTATTATTGTTAAATGTTTAGTTTTTTTTATAAGGGTAAATTACATAAAAAATTTTGATCTGTAATTATATACATAATGCTCACTTTACAAATAAACATAATTTACACAAAATTTTTGAA